ATATACCATGAACTTATTCATATTTAATTACTTCCCACCACACCCCATTTAACCAGAACTACATAAATTAGAGTTACAGTTTGTTAAGGATGATCACTTGAATAATTGTTTTCATTATAACTTAGCTCACTGTTACATTCTCAATGTTTATCCCTCAAAATTCATATGTTGAAACCAGGCCATCAACGTGATAATAAGAAGAAATAGGATTTGGGGGAGATGATTAGATCACAAAAGTGGAGTATTTTGTAGATGGAATTCATGCCCTTATAAAAAATAGAGACCATTTCACACTTTTTATTGCATAAGTTGCAGAGGAATATCACTATCTATAAACAAGAAAGCTGCTCTTTACCAGTCACTTGATTTTGGGCTTCCCAAAGAAATTTCTTTGTGTATAAGCCATCCAGTTTATGATATTTTGTTATGGGAGTCCAAATAGAATGACACTATTCTATCATTATACTGTAAAATTTATTAATGAAACAGTACAATTGCAATTCATTCTTCTTAATGAATTTTCCTTTTAACATAAGATTTTATATATGTCAACTGAGAAAACTAATTGTCCCTTTAGATAGGAAGTCTGGTCGAAGCAGAAGTTCTTGTACTGTCAGCATATAAGGGTAATAGATTCAATGTAAAAATAAATTAGTACTTAGGATATTTTTAAGTAAATCACCATTGTAGCCTTCTATTATGATAGCTACAATTTTAATATTTGATTTTTAATATCTTTTAAAATGATATAATTATATAAGATCATAATGCATTTTAGAGGATAAGAGATTAATCTCATCTTCCAAATTACTTTATAAATTTGATTATATGTTTATTTAAATGTATGAGTCACATTTTCATTGTTGGGACAAAGTACTTGATAAACATAACTCAAAGGGGGAAAGATTTATTTTGGCTCATGGTTTCAGAGGTTTTGGTTCATGGTTACCTGGCACTATCAGCCTCAAATGGAATAGCAGAAAGCTCTGTTGGAGAAAGCTGTTCATCCCATGCAGCCATGAAGACAGAGAGCTGGAAGAAAGTTAGAGGGGAAGGAAGGAGCTTGACAGAGGATTTATCCTTTCAAGACATGCCCCAAAGACCCACTTCCTCTGATCAGGCTTTATTAATAGTAGATTTAGCTATGAAAGCATCATTCATCAATAAATTCATGCAGTAATATGAGTAGTGTCCTCAAGATTTAGTTATTTTCTGCAGGCTCCACCTCTGAACACATGAGATTTTGAGGAGAGATATTTTAGATCTAAACCATAATAGTCTCTTTCTACAAAAATACACAGGTATATCCACACATATATATGCACATATCCTATGTTCATATTTTCATATATAATTACAATAAGTCTAGTTGTTAAGACCTCAGACTTACATTATTATAAATCCATAAAGGGAGAATTTATGTCCTTATTTCAGGCTATTAAATGGACAGCAGAGTGTTCATATCTCATCCTTGTGTCTGAGTAATGTATTTTCCAATGGTGTGTTCTGGTCTTCGCATTTGAAGCAACAATAGTGATATTTTCCTATAATACACTTTCAAAATATTCACTCTAATAATATTGTTTCTCCACTTAAATTCCTGAACCCATTCGTTTACAGGAATTGTATGTATTATGTGATTAACTTAGAAGTCTTTCAATGCCAGATTAAATGAAAAAAATGATCTAATAATAGATATATATTCTAAAGCATAAAATATTAATAGAGGTAAGATTCATATATTGTGTTATAATTTGCAAGCAGGTGCCAGTTAGCCCCTGAATTTCTTATATGAAATCATTGTAGATAAATTGTCCTGTGTTCTTTCTGTATCTTCTTCACTCTCTACTCATTTTTACATTCCTTTATCTCAGTTATTTTTTGAGTCAACCATTGATCTTGTGTGTAACATTCATTTCCTTTACTGAGCTTTTTATTCATTGTTGAATCACCCTCTCTAGGTTACTTTTGTAGAGCCTGTGAGGTAAGAATAGTTTTTAACAGAATGTACACAATCAGTTTGATAATACGCAACACTAATTTGAATTACAGTTACAAAAAATAATTATCCTTCATCTAAAAAGTCAATTTTAACAATAATAGAAATTTATTACAAAATATTTTACCCTTTTAGTATATTTTGAATTTTGCCAATAAAATTGTAAAGATTGTTTTTATTTCTGCTTACATAATTACCTAGAGAATAGCCTTGATTTTGTTTTTTGCTTACAAAGTCCAAAATATGTATGTCTAACTCTTTTTGGAAAAAGTTCACTGATCTGTTTTCTAAAGGTTGGATTTATTCACCAATATTCTTCTCTATTTGGAATTCAAACTATACTTCAGAATGACCTGAAAACAAGCTAAAATATTATATTAACATCTCTCTTTCCTTAACTAAAGTAGGACTTAGAACTTAGCATATGTGATTCCTTTTAGGGTATTTGCTTATGAAGTTTGTCGGTGGGGGGTGCTGGCTGGCTGGTGTCTGGTTGTCTATCTATTGACTAGGATCTCATCTCAGCTCTTCAACAGATTTCAGGCTTCAAGAAGAAAGGGACTTATTTCACAACTTATTTTATTTTTCATGAATGATTACATTTTGATATTAAGGAAAATATTGTTCAGTAGATACAATATAAGTAAATGAGTAAATGGGATCATCTGAGTTTTACATTTTATGCAGTATTTACATTTTAATGATAATGCATTTCTAAAACAAAACCTTCATCATTAGTTCCAGGGTGTTGTGAAAGAATTTGAACTGCACTAAGAAAGCCCTGTGAGACTCAAATCTCTCATCTCATGCTTGCTCAAGGAAATTTGGTTCATCTCTTTGAATCTCTTCTCTGAGGTGGTTTGAGGGAGATGATCTCTAAGGTTCCTTCGCATTATGACAATTAGTGATAGGTACGGTGAGCTGTCCCACCAGTAAGTAACATTTCTGCTCCTCGATGTTGTTATTTAAGAGGTAACAGTCACATCCCATCCCTATCTGCAAAATGTTAGCCCTACTGACAATGACCTTTTATTTTTTAACCAGGGATTGAAGTTGGGACCTTCGTCCTTGTGAAGCAGGTGGCAGAAGCACGTAGCTAAAGTCCCAGCCCTCAAGTTTTAATATATCATGTTCTTTGCTTTTCTGTGTCCTTACTTAATTCTCAAGATGAGGTAGGTATCCCCCATCCTTTCCTAGGTAAATAATCTGTGATAAGAAAGGTTGAATTAACTTACCTATACTCATAAAACTTGAAAGTGTCAAAACTGGAAATTAAATAGTATTTCAAAATTTAAATTATTGATAACTGAGGAATAGAGTTTCATGATTTAATGCATTCCTCATAAAAATTCTTTCATTTTTCTAAATTTGGAAGTGTCTTCATAAAATTATTAATCTTGTTTTGCTTAATGCTCTATCTTTCAGTTAACCAATTGATCAAAAATAAAGCAAGAAAAAAAAGCAGAGGAGGTAGGAATTTAGAGAAGGGAGAAGCTATTCTGAAAGAGGAATTGTAGATGTGCATTCAGCAAAAGGAACTTCATTTGGTTATTACGTTGCTTAATGCTCTACCTCCAGTCATACATTCAGTGCAATATCTTCACCAAGGGTTCAGTTACTTAATGCCCTTTAGGAATGAAAATTCTACCCTAATTAGACAAAAACGTAGATGTGAACTAGAAAATGTGATCTGATCTATCATCTAAGCAGGTAGTATAACATCTTTCTTCAGATCTCCTCTCAATGAATGTCATGATTACCACAAATCATTTTTTGCTCTTTTACATCTTTTTAAATGAAATCAAACTATCAAGTTTTTATATTTGATGATTTGCTATTCTCTAGATTCCTCCAAAATAAATTTAAAATTTTGTGCAGGGGGGATATGTCTGAATTATGTTTTTTTAAATGTTCCCCATTGCACTTATCTCAGCTAATTCATGAAATTGAAATCATTATTTTACTTCCAGCTGAGGTGGAAATGAACAAGTGTTTTTAATGTGGAGGGGGTAGATAAAGGTGGGAGTGGAAAAGGTAAGGGAGGAAGATAAAACACAGTGAGACAGAACCTTTTATTAATCTAACAAAACCTCTTCCATTGAGGCCCTCAGATCACGAAATACATATGCATTTACTTCTATGTAAATGTAGCTGAGAGCTACATACTGTGATGCACCTGGCTAAACAAAAAAACAGTAATGCCACTGAAAAATCATCTTCTAAAATGTCTTAGAGCTGTAACTTTCTTGAGCTAATGAAACACAGCCATTACACAGATTTGCTGTTTTTTCTCTCTAACCAAGCACAATTTTTATTCTGTGTCTCACCCGACACAAAGTTTGCCAACACTAGTGAAGAAGTCTGGCATAGAGAATTTTCATGCAGTTTGCAAGGATCAGTCAGGCTCTGAGACCATCCATCCATATCTTCTTTCTCCAGTTTGCTTTTTCCTTGGGCTCTAAGAAACAGGAGATAAGTGTTTTCTCTTGTTACAGAACATGCCTTGGTGTTAACCCTCAGAACTTTTTTTTTTAATTCAAGTGTGTCCTAAGGCAAGAATTTTAATGTCCTGCCTATTTCCCCATGTAAAACTTGGTTTTCTAATTCAGTTCACAAGTTGGCTGATGTTTGAGTGAGATTAATTGTCCTTGTGGGAAGGAAACCTTACAAATGTTAAATTGTACTAAATTATTGAGTAACCTAAAACTGCTAAGAGTTAAAGAAAGCAATTAAACCTGCTTAATGCATTTGTGCCTCCTTTTAGAGCCTGAATCAACTTGTGGAAATGGAAGTTAGAAAAACTAAAATAAAAAAGAATAATGATAATTACTCAGTACTTTGGATTTTCTAGTTACTATGCTAACATATTTTATTTGGACTGGCTTACTCACCTTATAACAACCAGAAGATAAATATTGGTATTTTTGTCAATTAACAAATGAGATCACTTATTGGCCAAGGACACTGATTTATAAATAATGGCATAAGGAATAAAACCTAGATTCTTACCCTGCAGTGGACATAGCATGATTGGCAAGGTGGTTTTCTGAAAGTGATGCTCACCCATTGCACTCCAAATGTGCTGAACCTTGTGATTCCCCCTAATGTAGGAAACTCAGGTGTATAATCTATGGTAGTGGAGAACTGCATTCATTCTTTCCCCTGAATAAGAAGAGGAAAGAAAGACAGATGGAAAAAATGAAATAGAGCCCAAAACTTTCTGGGTCTGAATCAATTACATTGCATTCCTCATAACGTAGTCATTCCCTGTGACCTCCAGTGGTCACAGAAATCCATGTCAAGACCATTAAGTGGTTGTGAATAAGGTCTCTGAATAAGTAAGCATGCCCATGTGGCTCTGCCGACTGGCACCTATGCAGTTATAGAACCTCACCAGTAAACTGGGGTCAATAACCACCCCTGCTAATTGGGTCGCTGTGAGATAAACCATGTAGAGCATGTGGACACTACGTGGTGAGCATCCAAAATTTCTTAGGTACTATTAGTCCTAATGACAGAATCACTTCTGATCACAGTATTATCACTTTCAGCTGGATAGCATGTGTGAGAACAAACATTAATTCACAGATCCTCTTTGATCTCTTGATTTCCACTCTGCGATGCAATCAGAATAAAATAGTAATAAAGCAGCACAGTCTCTTGAACTAAAAATGGTTTGGCACAGTTGTATGATTTAAATTTCAATTGCTATTTCCATCCCAGGCCATTTTGAATAAGCTAATAATTTATTCGTGTGTGTTTTAGGAGAAATTATTGAGTGCATAATTATATACTGGCTCCATTATGCACATTTAGGGTTTGGATTCTGCATGACCAGGGGTAGTAAGAAGCTGGACTTATTTCAAACCATCTTTATAATCATAACTATCCACCTTCTGTTTAAACAAATAAGAACAACCAAACATCTTTCTGAATCAGAGGATAGACAGAAGAAACATTTGTATTTGTTTCCAAAGAGTTTCATGGAAACTATAAGGAGTTATGTAATCTTAGAGAGAATGTTGGGGTTTCCTGAGCTGGTCTGTTTAGTTAATACTAACCCCTAAATTCAGACCCACTGGAGCCCCAGTTTAAGATGTGGTTTGAGTTTGAATTTTGGGTTTGCCACAACTGGATATACAACTTTAGACTCCCCTTTACACTTCCATTTCCTCACTAGTGAAGTGAAAATGACAGTACCTATTTATTAGTACTCAGGCCTTGAAAACAATATAGGTAATTAGGGTTGTGACTGACATGACATGTTCTCAATAAGTTTTAGCAATTATGATTTTATAGTATTCTTTTTGTTTGCTTCATTTAGAACTAGATATGATAATAAATTTACCTTTCTTTAGATTCTGTATGGTATTTAAAAGGTTAAAAAATAATAAAGTATGTTTCATGAATATTAAAAGTTGCAGATGAAATTATACCTTTTATTTAAAAATCTTATATTTCCTTAAATTCCAGGTTACAAATCAAAATGTTTTGTGAGAAGTGTTTTAATCACGCAATATCAACAAGGAATATTTGAAAAGTATACACACTGTATGCCCAGTGTCATGCTGGATGCTGTGACACAAGCAGTAACAATACAATACATAGGAAACATTTTGCAAGATTTCAAATAAATTTCTAAAATGATTAACTTTGCTATCAAATTTTCTTATAAAATAGTAATGTGTTTCTGTGGAGGAATGGTTTTAATAAATTGGATTCAAAAGGTACTTGAATTCTTCTGATACCCAAACTCTGGTTAGATTTTATTTAGTGTGTGGGACATCAGGTAACTTGTATGCTTTCTATTTAACTGGGGAGCTTATATGTTGAAAAAGAGAACCCACATGGAAAAACCCTCCACATCCAATCTTTCCTAAGGTTTCTCACAAGTGTTTTTTTTTTTTTTTTTTAGTTGTAAAAAGCCTATTCCTTCATCTTAAGCATTGCAATTGCTCTTTCTCCCTTGACAACTCTAAAGAAGAATTAGTTCAATGTCTCCAGAGTATCTACATCTCAATATGTGCAAAATGAGACTCAGTGTTCTCCTTCATCATTCTTCTTTTAGTTGAATTTGAATGCATCAGGAGCAGATAGAATGAGAAACCAAAGTCATCTTAAATTAGTTATATTTGTCCCTCATCCTTCCATATCTAATTCTTCACCAATGTGTCTCCATACATAATCTAAATGCATTCTCCAGTCTTTTCTTCTATTTGCATCTTCTTGACTACCCTTGTCGAGGAACCAGTATTCTGACCTAACACTGAGCAGTCTATCTATTGGCACTCCTTCCTACCCCCTAGTGCATTTTCCCCACTGTATTTAGAAATCATTCCCATCTTTTCAACCCAAAGTTGCTCTGGCCAATCCTTTCTGAATCCCCACCTTTTCACCAACCTTACTCACTCTTGTTTATTGTGATCCTTGGCTTGTTTCTTAGAATCATCACCATTCAGCCAAGACATTCAAATGATAAAGCCCTCTTTCCTCCCCTCTGGACCTAATTTACTCTTGCTCATCCTACAAAGTTTGGATAATTTACCTTTCTCAGTTTTCCTGCAGAAGTTAATTTCTCTCTCAGGCATTAATTTCCCTACGATATGGTCTTAGAGCCATGTAATTAAACACTTACCACAATTGCAATTTTGTAATTGCTGCTGATTATTTTAAAAAGTCTCTTCTACTAGACTATGTTAATGCATTATATCTCTAATGCCTTGTAAATTTTTAGCTTAACTATTCAATAAATACATATTTATTGAATAAATTAGTGAATTGTGTGGTTCTGTACCCAAAGATTTATGAAATATTAAAGTAACAAATGCCACCAGAATTAGGGTATACCTAAACTTCATGGTTGCAGTAAATGGTAATGAGAAAACATCATACAGGCAGGTAACTACTGTAGAGATTGCAATAATCTAACACTTCTTGGCTTGGCTCATAGGAAACTAACTCTTATAAAGAAAATACACATACAATTGTGAAATATTGTATAATGTCAAATGGTTTACAATCCGAAAAGCATACACAAGTAGCCAAACTGATTTCCAAGAATATATCTTATATTTGAAACAAAAGACTTAATAGCACTTAGCCTTGAATATGTGTGAAATACTTCAGGTGAAAACGGTCTTGTAGAATCTCATATATCAAAGGTCAACAGTGGGGCTGGGGATTTAGCTCCGTGGTTCAGCCGCCTGCCTCACAAGCAGAAGGTCCTGAGTGTGATCCCCGGTAACAAAAAAAAAAAAAAAGAAAAGAAAGGTCAGTGGTATACTTTCCCAGTTAAATTTATCTTTTCTGGATTCCAAAGGTTATTGGAACATAAGCACTAAAATTATTTTTACAAGATAAGATTTTTCAGTTTTCTAGATATTTTGGAGTGGTCTGCACTGTATCAGCCTTTTTTAGCCTTTAATACTCAACCATATGCCTAAATAACTAGAATAGTAGTATTAAAATCAGAGGTATGTGATTTTATTTTAATTTCTCTCTTCTACATAAACTACATACAAAATTTGGGGAGTTATTCTTGTTTCTGCAAATTTCAGATGCCTCATTAATAAAACATAGATAAAGTTCCTATTTAATATTTAATATAATTAAATATTGTTTACAAAATACCTGCCATGATGTAAGGTATGCATTGGGTCTCCAATTAATGTTAATCCTTGTCTTCTTACTCTTCCTTTTTATATGTCTGAACACTTCAACCACTGAGGATCTTTGAAATATATGAAGTTCCTTCAGCCAATTTGTATATATTCGATTTCAAATCACATTTCATTTTATCTCTCCAGGAAGTAGTTACAAAAATTCTCTTAACTAAGGACTGGAATGATTTTTATACTGTTAAGTACCTTTATTTATACAAAGATGCCAATCAAGCACACATGAAAACTGAGAGATATAAAGACTTCTAAAAAAAGAACAGGAAGAAACATATGTAACTCACCACTCTCAGACTCTGACATGTGGTTTGCCTGAGGAAATAATAAGTGATACCAAATCATTTAATTTAACCTCTTTTACATATATCTAATGCCTTTCTCAGGGACTTCCTTGGTGTGGAAATCTGAGTCATACACCCTGGTTCTTTGGAAAAAGTGATTTTGAAACCAACAGCTAACTTCCTCCTAGCAGTTAACAGAGGTGCATGCCCCTTTGATAGTGTAAGGTACAATAGAAAAATATGTTGTCTTTCTTTTTAGTATCAAAGACTTTTAAAAATGCTGTTAAATTCATTTAAAACTTCTTGTTCAATAACTTCTGAAAATTAGTGAAAATTTGAGGGGTTGGATCTATAAAGAAGGTAGAGTTTTTGAACTGTTCATCTCAGCCTTTCAAATCTTGTTTCTATGTTTAGACTTAAAATTTTAGCATTGATGTAGCTGATATCATATTTCTTTTGGAACACAAATAAATTAACAAACAAAAACACTGAGGTAATTTGAAAGTAGAAATGCTTTGAAAACAAATCTGAAAGAATGAACACATAAAGCTTCTGTTACATATAAATCAAATCACTTTTGGCAGAGACATCCAGCTAAATTTTAGCCTGAGGTGAATAGTGTCTCTCAAAATGAAATTCTCTGATTTAGGTCCCTTTCCAAATAAAGAGGCAACTCTCTGGGTATAATGGTTTTATTCCATGGAAGTGATATTTGTACAAGAAAATTGTTTCATTATTGCCATGTATTATAATTAATACACCACAATATTCCTTAGGAGTCTACAATATGGACTTTAAACTCGATTTTCTATTTCATAGTACTTTATTATACATCTGTAGGACAATATTCTTTGGATTACAAAACGTACACAATTCAACTTCATAGAAAATTTATGTGTAATTATGTTACTTGAGTAGAGCATCTACCAAAACAATATCTAAAATGGATGCTGACAATAAATTGATCTTAAAAATGCTGTTCACTTCTGATACATTTATATTTATTGTTGATACATGAAAGGAACTGCTGAAGTTTTTTTATTTTTAACTCACACTGAGAAAGTTACTCAGAATAGAAAACATCAACATGCATTGTCAATAAAATGGCTAAGTATAATTTTATGTTCTTTAAATGAGTAAGTCAGTGTCAAAAATATTTGAAAAATCACTGTACTATTCTTTTAGTATCATTTTTATTTTTATGTGA